CCAGACGGGATGGAGAAGGCAGCAGCTCCTGGAACCAGGCAGATCCTGGGGGAGGAAGCAGGGAGGGACCCAATACAGCTGTGAGGGTGGGGACAAAGGGGTCGTCGGGGACAGTACAGCCAAAGTCATTCAGAGAGATGGGGGACCTGAAAAGAACATACATGAAGGGGTCACCTCCTTGCTGTGGAGAGTCCCCCCCCCTTCCCATACCCTCCCTGCAGAACCTCCTTGTCCCTATCTCTGCCCTGGTCACCCAGCTTACTTTAACTGTCCCTCTATCCAGTTAGTGTCTCATGGCCCCTGTGCCTCCAAACTGCCCTCACTCAGAAGAGATTCTGCATCCCCGGCCACTTCCTCTGCAGCCTACAAACCTACAACCTTGGCTCAGCCTGACAGGTTTCCCCGAGGACCCTGGTCTTCCCTCAATCCCAAACCAGGCAGGAAGAATATAGGTGATCTGCAACCTTTTTTTTTTTTTTTTTTGCCAAATAAATGAGTGCCTGAATCTAAACACGAACGCTTAGGGTATGGGGGTGGCTCAGTCAGTTAACATCTGCCTTCAGCTCAGGTCATGATCTCAGGGTCCTGGGATTGAGCCCTGCATCAGGCTCCCAGCTTGGCGGGGAGGCTGCTTCTCCCTCACCCCCCACACCCAGCTTGTGCTCTCTCCCTCTCAAATAAATTAAATGAATAAACAAACAAACATGACTGCCTTGCCCGTTCTCTTCCTACACATCAGGCCCCTTTCCCACCCACAGGGTCTGGGCCCTCCGTACCTGGGGCCGAAGTGGCAGTGGTCACTCCCACAGGAAGCGCACGTACCAGATGGTCTCATTTTTCAGCTGCGGCCCAAAAAGGGGGTTCAGCTGAGCCAGGATAGTGATGAGCCAGCTGCCAGGGACAGCACAGTGAGGGTAAGCCAGGACACAGAAGGAACCCCACCCTCCGCACCCTGCACAGCGTCTGGTCACATGGCTCAACCCAGGAGATATAGGGTCTGTGTTTCGGATCCTATAGCCACCTACACTCCAGCGAGCATGTGAGCTCAGCCTGGGCTTTGTGGGAATGGGCTTAGGTTTGGCTTGATTCCATGTTTTGTAGATTTATAAGGTCCACGTTGGGGCTGGACTCTAGGGTAAGAGAAGTAAGACAGCCTACAGGGGCACGCTGAAAGTGACTCCCAGCTGTGCCCCAGTACATCTCTGGTCTGGGCCCCCCAGCCTGCACCTGGGAGCAGGACAGGGCAGGTCTGATGGGAAGCAAGTCAGAATCACCTACTTTTAGGAGCAAGATGAAGGAACCACCTCCTACAAAGGGCTAACAACCAGAGAGCCCCACTCTGAGGCCTGCTGGGGACAGGAGAGGAGCTGTGCTTCAGGCCAGTGAGCTTTCTGGGCAGGCTGCACATCTCGGGGTGGAGGGACGGGGCCCCACAGTCATGACTGTGTGCCCACAGTAGCAGGCTCTAGAGGCACATTCACGACTTCATATGCCTGAAGTAGGTGCCAATGGTGCTCTATCTGGATTTGCAGGAAGGGTCCAGCTGTTTCACCTGAGTGCCCCCACACAGTCCGTCACGTGGCTGACGCCCAGGAAGCTGTCAGAAATCACAGCCTGCTTATCATCAGCATTATTCCCGAGCGGATATTTCATAAACGTTTAATTTCTAGGCCTAGCATGTTCCTTGGCTGCCCCACCTTTCAGCCTGTGTGTACCTGCTCTGCAGGCAGTCTCCTCTTTCCCATGTGTCCATTTGGTGTTTTTAATTACCCAACACCCTATGCAGATGCCTGTTCCCAGCCGCCACCCTCTCTGTCCTGGTCTCTGAGCCAGCGAACTCCAACCCCTCTGAGGCCCTCCCCAGCACCCATGAGGACATTCTGCTAACCTTAGGGACGCTCTGTCTGGGGAGAATTCTGAAAAACTGTACACTTCCATATATGTAAGCTGACATCTAAGAGTCATCATTATTTTTAAGAAGTTTTATTTTTGGTTGTTAATAGGAGGTAGGAAATATTTAACATTACATAAAGTGAAAGGAGAGAATTGGCTAACAGGAATAAATAGTTCATGATCTAATTAGATAAAACAGGTTTTAACTATAAAACACACCCCAAATCTGAAAGCACTCACATACATTTTTTTTTTAGATGTGGGCCTTATTCTACGTATTTTGAAAAATCTGGCAATCTTGAAAAGTATTCCAGTTTCTTTTATTTTTTAACTTTTTAAAGTTACTTTTATTAATCAATTTGCTATTCCAGTTACTTTTAAAACCATCTGTTACCTTTTAACGAATAAGTAGCTCATCACTATTACCTGCCCTATTTTGATTGTTCTGAATTCAGAACAGCCCGACTATGCCAAGCATAACTCATAAAAATAGTGTGAGACCCAGGATGTGTCTCCCAGGGCTTGAGGGAGAGGCTTCCCTCAAAACCAGAACTTGGACTTATTCCCTGGTTTGGCAGGTAGAATGATTTAAACATGGAGTAAGGTGACATGAAAAGACTGGGGGTAGAAGGAGGAGGTACTACCATGAATGGCACTTTTAGGAAGAGAACATCTGGACACTGAGGACCTGGATGTTGATTCCCTAACCCTGTGCAGGTCCTTGAATCCCTTGGGACTATTCTATATCCCTAGGGCCCTCTTCCTAAGTGTGAAGACTCCCACCCATCTGGTGTTTCAAAACCGGCTGTATCACAACCACCCAGGAGCATGCATTAAAAATATGAACTCCTACGTGCAGACCTTGAAAACTGTGATTTAGTGGGTCTAGGGTGTGGCCCTGAAAGCTGTGTTTACAATCCCTCCAGGAGATCCTGATGCCCAGACTGACCTGGCCTACTGCATTCCCTTCGCTGCAGCCTCTGGACGAGACCAAGCCTGTTCAGGTGACACATTTGGAACCAGACTCCAGAGTCCATGATTTCCAGCCCATCGCTCTCTGCCATCTCAAACCACCTTGTTTCCTAAACTTTCTAGACTCAGTCTTTCAAAAGTGGAATCTGTCACCACCAGAACAGAGGGAAGAACAGGGCTCAGGAGAGGAGGGAAGACTTTGAGTTGGGGAGCAGTACTTACAAGAGGTAACAGCAGACCGCGGTGGCCACCAGCATGGTGATGATCACTCTGCAATGTAAGAGGTTGTCAGGTCAGGATGGGCAGAACCAGCACCCTCTGAAGGCCTGGCCAGGGCCCAAGAAAGAGTTCCTGGTGTTGGCCCCTTACCTGTTGTCTTTCCTGATGCCACCTGAACACAGGAGGCTGAGTTCTATTCAGGGTGAAGATTATAAGATGGAAGATAAACTATTAAGTGTCACCTCGGGGGAAACCCACCCTGCCTCATCCAAGTCGTGTTATGATCCCTTCATCTCCCTTCTCCAAAACCCACTTTTTCCACCTTAACACAAGCTTTCCAAGAGTGGTCTCTGGAATGTCAACTTCATTGGGTAAGGGGATGGAAAACAGAAGCTGGCAAGAAGCAAGGAGACCAGGAGCCATTTCTGAGGCAGCAGAAGCAGTTATAAAGGGAGCAAGGAGAACATCCCAGGTGGCTCAGCGGTTTGGCGCCTGCCTTTAGCCCTGGGCCTGATCCTGGAGTCTCGGGATTGAGTCCCGTGTGGGGCTCCCTGCATGGAGCCTGCTTCTCCCTCTGCCTGTGTCTCTGCCTGTCTCTCTCTGTGTATCTCTCATGAGTAAATAAATAAATAAATCTTTAAAAAAAAAAAAAAAGGGAGTAGGGACTACCTGTGTCCACACAAGGAGACTTGGAGATAGAAGCTTAAAATGCAGCAGGAAAGACTTCAGTTAGAAGTCACCGAGGTTTGCAGAAGAGGTGAGACACTAAAATGGTTCACAAAGAGCCTCCAGCAGATCTTGAAGAACAGAGACAGTGCCCGTACATGTCCAAGCAGCCTCCAACCAAGCTCAACCTAATCCAAACCAGGCCCCAGGACCCCTGGTCTAAAGCACCTGAAGTCAGTGCCAGAGAAATTACACTTGACCCGCTCCTTCCACATTACTGAGCCTGTGGGCTAGTGCTGTGCTGGACACTGGGGTCCACTGTGGTGAAGAAGACAATCCTCCACCTAGGGGAACTTGTAATCAAGAGGAGAGGGCACTTCGTAACTGAGATTAATATGATGCAGACGCTGCTAAATGATGTGACAGGTACAGAAATCTGCTAGGGGCCCTTTAAAAAACAATAATAACCAGCGGAAAATGACTCAATGCATAATATGTGCCGTGCGTTTCCAAGCATTAAGTGGGGTAACCCTGAGGGCAGCCTTAAAGGGCAGGTACCACCATCATCCACATTTTTCCCGGGAGAGAGCGAGCTTCAGGGGGTAACATTCGCTAAAGGTCGCTGCCTGTGAGGGGTGGACAAGCCCATTAGTGGCCGGCCTTGGCCTTGGCCTCGAGCTTCTCTGGCCGGGGAGGGGGAGGGCCCTTCACTGCCTCCCGTCAGTCGGCTCCCCCCCTTTCTGAAGCACCGCCGGCTCCGCCCTCGGGCCCCGACCGCCTGCCTGTCCCGAGCTGAACGCGGTCCGGGCGGGCCTGGGCCCAGTGCTCGCTGCGCCGGCCGCCGCCCGGGAGGGGTCCGCAGGGCGGCCGGGCCCGCGCGCCATCCTTACCCGCGGTTCGGTCCTTTCGGCACGAACCAGGGCCCGGCGATGCCGATGAGGCCCCAGAACGTGGTGAAGATGATGACCGGGAGGGCGAAGGAGTGCGCCGTCATGGCCGGGCGCGGGACACCCAGGCCGGGGGGGTGCAGGGCCGAGCCGCGGGGCCTCCGGTGCGCGGGTCCCCGCCGGGCAGTGGGCGCCGAGCATGCGCAGCAGGATCGGGCCGCCCGGGGGAGCGCGCGCCGTGGTCCCCGCGCAGGCGCGAGCGCGTCAGCCGGAGGGGGCGGGCTTTTCGAGCCGCCCGATTTCGCTTTGATGGGCTTCATAGGCTTTGACCCGCGAGACCCATTGGACAGAGAGAGGCACGTGTCCAAATCAACTGCTTTATTCAGGTAGCAAAAGGCTGAGAATCAAACATGGTTTTTTAAACCTCGTTTGCCCATCTTTGAAACCAGGAGAGGAGAGGACACCCCATTGCCAATCACCCCGAGTATCCTCGGGAGACAGACACCTGCATGAGGGATTGGCCAATCCTCACGCCCGTCTTGCTAAATACTTAGCACCCTAGGAACTCATCATGGGCTGGCGAGAGAAGCCAAAGGTCTGGGGGAGGTCACACTGTCCAAGGTGGCTGGCTGGGTCCCTCCCTCCCACCTGGTCTCTATGGCTACTGGAATCAAAGCATCAGTTATAACGCCGGTTAACTCAGAACGTCAGACCCTGTGGGCATCAGTTATGGGGTGGGGGCGGGGACAGGGACAGGGGATGCCAGGATCAGAACGTGGAGACGCTATGAGGGTTACAGGAAGGGAGGAGGGTGGAGGCATAGCTAGGACTCCAGGCAAAGGCTTGCTCCGACTGCTCTCCGTGCCCTTCAGCTTGTTTTCTGGTGAGGCAAAAATAGGACGCCGCTCCAAAAAGGGTATCTCCAGGCCCTGGATTTGAAACGCAGCAAGTGTCTTGAAACAAAACAAAGAGTTCCGGCTGGGTAAATGTCTCTGGGCAGGGAGTTCACCCTGTGTCAGCCCTGGATCCTGCACAAAAAAATGGGTAGGCCTCTTTGCCATTAGCTAGCATGCCTGTGCCCTTCAAGAGACATGGATAGTGCAAAGCTCTACAACGAACAGCATTTTCATCACCCCCTCCAAGGGGCCTGACCTTCTCTCAAAAGCTGGCACTGGAGGCCTCCTCAGTACATGGATGTGGAGGCTGGACGCTTCCCTACCTGGCCTCCACCCGGGTGCCTAGACCAGCCCAGGGAACTGTGTGTGTGGAACTCACACACAACACTGCTTGAGGGACTGGCCTCATGCTCTGAGGATTCTCCCATCCAAGTACTAACCAGGCCCGACCCTGCTTAGCTTCCGAGATCAAACGAGATCGGGCGCGTTCAGGGTGGTATGGCCGTAGACTGCTCTGAGGATTCTCAAAGAATGGAAGAGGCCGTGGGGCGGGGTGGGGGGGTGGGGCGCAGCTTGCCAGAATCACCTCAACTTGGAATCTAGAGACTGGGTGCAGGTGACAACTCCCATTTCAAAGGATCCTTCTCTCTTCCATCCCACCAATTCACACCCACAGCACTTTGCCTGGGGCAGATTCCTGAACTCTCCATAGAATCTCATGTGAATGGGGAAGGGAGGCCTGGGCTCCCATCTCCATGGCATGGACAGAGCTGTAGCTCCAAGGGCCCACAGTATACCCCAGACCCCAGACCACGGGGCTAGGAAAGAGACATTTCCACAGGCTAAATAAAAGGCAGAGAGTGAGAGCGAATCCCTGGCCCAAAGCTGAAGAAAACAGGAAGGCGATGGCACTAAGGCAAAGTGCTAAGGGTGGGTGATGGGAAGGGCAAGCTGGAAACATTGGGAACTGGGGCCCATTGTACAGGGTGATGGTGGATACCAGCATCTCAGGAGCTCTCAGCACCCCCTAGGACTGGGAAGAGGACAGAATGATGGCTGAGGGTCAGACACCTTGTTCTTACAGCACAGGGCAGGGACCCCAGGAGCAAGGCTGGGATGTAGCACCACTTTCTGCCTAAGAGGAGAAAGGCAGGGGCGAAGAAGCCCTTCCCTCTCACCTCCTCTTGTTCCCCACCCCTGCTTAGGAAGGTGGGACCTCAGCCCCATATCATCCCCACCAGATAAGCAGCCTACAACCTGCCAAAATGCAGCTGCCCTGGAGGGAAAAGTGCTTTACTTCCAGGAGGAAGGAGAGAGGGAGTGAGGCTAGGTGAGAACCTAGTAGTGCAAGACACCCTCTGGGGCCTCCAGGGTAGTGATCCTCAAGTCTCAATGGGCTCACAAAGGTCCTGGAAGATCTAGTGGGAAACGGCTCATCACTGAGCCGCTGTCCCCAGAATCTGATCAAGTTGGGATGGGGTGGAGCATATTTAATGAGACCCCTGATGATGCCCAGGCTGAGTCCCAGAGCAACTTCGGGAAGAGGGGACTCAACCACCAGGCTGATGGCACTTTTAGGGAGCACTGCTTCCCACACTAAGGACATCAGTAGCAAGGGACAAGGACAAGGGCTGAAGGCAGCTAAGTCCACTCTGTGCAGCCCGAGGTCTGTCAGGGAGCTGGAGGTGCTGTCAGTCTCATAGCAGACCAGGAGCCAGCAGGCACTTGAATTCTCTGCTGCCATGTCATGGACAGGGAAACCGAGGCACAGGAAAGAGGAAGGACTCAGATTAATTACGGTTGAACCTCTGCCTGTGCCAGGGCTGGGGCTGGATCCCAAGCCTCCCCAGTGCAAGCCTGGGTGTATCTACTCCTTAGGAAACCGGACTTATGTTAAATCTAAGTGCTGCCACTAAGTGCAGGCTCCCTCTGGGAAGGACTTTCCTCTATTGTCCTGGGGCTATAGGACGCTGACCTCTCCTGTCTACTTTGTGCAGAGGGTTTTGCTTGCCTCATCCTGAGGGAGGCCCTGGGAAGAGGTAGAGAATTTTTCTGATGCGAGTCTCTCGTTTGAAGTTGATGCTTCCCTGTTTCTGCCATGGAGCCACAGTGATAGATCCCAGAGCCAGGCCAGTTGTACCCTAGAGCCTGGTCATCCTCTGCTCCTCACTGAGGCTGTGTGCAGCCTCCCTGGGATGCTCCCCAACCACCCAGGGGGCTGGGATGCTCCTATAAGCCCCTAACCCAACAGTCTCTCCCACTTCAGAGAAGTCCTCTTACTACCAGAACTTGGGGTGAAATCTTTCATGATGAGATCATTTCTTGAAGCACCCTAAGAATGAATTTGAGATATTTGCCTATGTAAGTGCTATTAGGTCACCACTGCTTAGAGAGGGACCATGGTAAACAGGTTTGTGCTCCTGATCGGTGGTAGGCTTAATTCTCTTGTCACTGCCTGCTCCTGGTGCTTAGAGAGTTCCCCCGAAAATGATTCTAGGGCAGCAGAGATTCTGCAGAGCCTGTCACCATGATTCCAAGGGGCATGGCAGCAGGGTCATCTCCAAGGCAATCCCTAGGACTCCTGCTCCTGCATGAGCTCTCTATCAGGACAGCTCAGGAGCCCCTTGGCTGGTACAGGGCTACAGGAGGCTGTCGGGAGGGTTCATGATGCAGTCCTTCAGGATCTCCTCTGGCTCCCTGTAGGATGGAATAGGTGGCTTCTGGGTCACAGCCTCCTCCATATAAAGTGCTCCCATCTTCTCCTTCCTGAGCCCTGCTCCTTGTACAAGAGGAAAGAGAACCCACTATTACACCGAGGGGAAACATATTAGACAACGACCCCTTTCCCACATCCAACTCCACCCCAACATAGGCTTGGTGAGATGGGATTGGTGCTGCTCTTGGCAGGCCTCATCTAGTCCTACTCTGGTCTTCTCTCACCCTAGGGCACCGGGTCTCACCTGGGGTGCTTCTGCCGTCTGGGAGACATGTGGCAATGCTTGGAGATACTTCTGATCGCTACAACTGGGTGAGTGCTATGGGGACCCAGTGAGTCAGGGGCGCTGAAGATCCTACAACACATGGGCTGGGCCTCACAATGAGGAACCATCTGGCCCTCCATAGCAACAGTGCTGAGGTTGAGAACACAGCCTGGGAAGGAGGGCTTTAACATATCAAATGGATACTGTCCTTTGTTTTTTTTCAGATGTACTCACCCCACTGCCCCTATGCGAAGATACCCAAGGGCGTCTTTCTCCTTCACCCCCACAGGGCTGGACATGGCAAGTGTGTGGGTGAAGGACGTACCACCTGGCTCCCTGCCTTGGCCCTGTCTCTTCTACCCTGGGCCTCGTGGAGCCTCTGTCAATCCTGAGACCTAGTCCACCGCTGATGGCCACAGACCCAGTGGTAACACACAAGAGCACAAGCACTAAAGGAGATCAGAAATAAAGATGCCCAGGAAGCAGCTTCATTGCTGTCGCTGGAAAGTACAAGTGAGCAGCCTGGGATCCTCTGTGGTTTTCAGGGACTATTTGAAAAGAGGAAAATGTCTTGTCTGAGACTCAGCAGCTCACCTCCCATGTAATATAACTTTCTATCCAGCCTGCTCCCTACACCAGCCCTCGGGGCTAGCACTCTTCACAGACACCTCCCACCTGGAATGCTCCAACCTTTCTTCGCAGCCCCTTGGATCCGCACTGACTTCTTCCCTCCTGAAACAGTCCACCCAGCCCTGCAGAGAACGTGATGTCACTGCCCTAGCTTGTCCGGTCTCTGGTTATGTCCAGTAGTGGCTTAGGCCTTTAGAGAGTGCCACTGGCATCACTTGCCAGATGTTGTGCCCTTTGTAGAAGGAAAACCAAAGCACCATGTGATTAACTTGCCCGAGGTCATACACTAGTTAGCAGAACCAGAATTTGAAACTGGGCGGACTGGCTCTGAAAATTCGTGCTCCTGGCCCCATGCCCTGCTGCCTGCAGAATGTGTATCCTACCTCCCCGGCCGGATCAGAAGCTCTTGGAGGGTAGGTGTCACGTATCAAGCACCCATGGGGATACCTGAGACCTCAGACCAAGCCTATGGTGATGGCTGACATTGCCAGACTCTACTAGACTTCACGGTCAGCATGGGATTGGGAAGACAAGATTCTCTTCCCTCGTTTTTCCCTGTCCAGGAACTCTGTCATACATACTCACTTGCATGGGCTCGGGGTGGCACTTGGGCACACGTGTAGACATGGCTAAAACGCCGGCCTGAGGAGGTCAGGTACCAATGCTGGATGGCAGGCTGGGGGTCGTACTCTGTGACCGCCACCCCGTTCACTGCTGTCATCATGAGCATATTGATCACCTCATTGGAGAGCTTGGTCCGCTCATCGGTCCTGATCCGGTTCATGGCACTGAAGCCCCGCTCACAGCAGGAGGTGGAGATGGGCACACAGACCACCACCGCCACGAGCCTGCTTAGCAGGGGGAAACGGTAGTGCTGGGCCAGGGCGTTCTTACACAGCATGGAGAATGGGAGGTTCTTGGCGATGGCTTTCAGGCCCAGCCACTCCTCCAGGAGTGCTTCCTCGCTGTACCCCGCAGGGAGGGAAAGCTCAAAGTATCTGGCAAGGGCAAGAATATCATCGTTCCCAAAACTGGCGAGTTCAATCCCACTTGGCCAGGCCATGGTGTCGAACACCTCCATGTTCTTGAGCTGCGGGGGACGGTCCATGTCAAACCTTTGCTGGAGGTACTTGATCCCAGTCAGGATCATTCTTTCCCGGTCTGCCTGGAAGCGCTGCTCTGCCACCTCCATTCTGTCCAGGAAGATGCCATGGAGCTGCCCATCCTGGAAGCCGGCGTTGAACTCTTCCTCTTTGGGCCCAGCCTGGTGACGGAGGGTCTCCAGGGCGACATAGGCCCGTCCCAGTGTGGAGTTCACCTCTGTAATCAGCACGATGTCCTTCTGGCACACCTCAGACAGAGGCCTGTAGATGCTCAGGAAGTCCAAAAGGAAGTGGCAGAACTTGACGAAATGGAAGCTTTTCATCAGCTTCAGCATGCCTTTGGCCCTGTGCCCGGTCTGGCCCCCTGCGTCCGCCATGCCCTGGAGGTGCCGGGCCAGGGCAGGCCAGCTCACGATGAGCGCGTTCAACGTGCGCCTCTTGCTGGCCACCCACCTGACAGCGTTCAGGTCCTTTAGGCGGATGATTTCCTGCTCTAGTGAAGCCGCGCCTTCCTGCAGCTCATTCAGCCTTTTATTTGAGGACTGATAAAACTTGAAGACAGTTCGAATGTGCCGGTCACACTTCTTCACCAGATCGATGCCCCCGCAAGCATCTACCACGGCCAGGTGCAGCCGATGGGCGACACAGTGAATGGGTAGCAGCTGGGGGATGACCTCCTGGAACTTCTCCACCAGACCTCCTCTGCAGCTCAGCATGGTTGAGCCATCAGTTCCCAGACCCACGACCCACCCAGGCTTCCGGAAAGGGATGTCCAGTTCATCTAGGGCAGAGATGATGGTCTCGAAGTACCCATCCACCGTCTCACTGTAGAGAGGGGCCAAAGTGATGTACGACTCTTTCACCTCCATCCCCTTAAAGTAGCGGATATAAATCCCCACGCAGGACGGGTCGGAGGCGTCTGTGGAACTGTCCAACAACACACTCACGCAAGGGGAGTTTCGGATGTCCTCGAGGATCTCCTTCTTCAGAGTCTCAGAGATGTACTTGATGAACTGAGTACATGCGGTGCGATTTCGGTACTTGCCCAGGATCATGGTCCCGGTGCTTTGGAGGAGTTGCAGGATCTTCTCAAAGTCATTTAGAGGCCGCGAGTGGTAGGCAATGGAGTAGGCGGCGTTGAAGAAGTGCTCCATGTTCGCCATCAGGTCACTGGAGATCTCTGGGACTAGCGCAGCCTGTGGGGAGTCTTCCTTGATTTTAACAGTGTTGACACAGAGCTTGTGTGCTTTGCTGACCTCGTGGTATTTTAAAGTCTCCACTTTAAAAGGCCCCGTGTAACCTCGGACTAACCGGGATGATTTGTCATGGAGACTAGGTCTTTCTTTGCAAGCTGAGCAGAAAAGCTTGGTCTCCTTTGGGTCGATTACTAACCATGGGAATTGCCCAAACCATGATCTCTGAATTGAACGGGGTCTGTAAGTCCTCTTGATTTTCCTAGGTCCATCTACTTCGACTTCACAAAGGCTGGAATTGCAGTAGGACCTACATGTCTCCATAGAAGGAGCTAGAAGCACTGCAGAGTCTACAGCCAAGGCTTGTGTGTCTGCCTCTCTTATGGCCACCATCTTCTTCTTCCCTTTGGAGCAAATAAAAATGTGCTTGGTTATGCTGCTGTAACTCTTCAGGCTCCTATCAGTTAAGACATCCCAATTTACTGAGTATCCCTTATGCAAAGCAGAGATGAATGTGATCCACCTTTCTAGAGATCATTAGTGACTTCTCTTCACACTCTTCCCTATTATTATCTATGCAAGTTAGCCTGCTCCCTAAGAGATGTGTGCTAATCCTCTTGGGCTCTTTAGCCAGCCTCCCCATCTCTATCCACACAGCTACCCTGGGATCATGTGACACCAGATGCTAATAAGCCTAAGTAGCCACCTTGGCCATGGATGCTATTGGATAAACAGGTGACTTTAATCCTCTTTCAAGGCAGCACAAAGAAATGAGGTTAAACATCCAAGTCTTCTTATAAGGCTTAGAAAGAAGGGAAGTAGAACAGTACACACAGCAGCTACTAGCCAGTAAGCCTTAGGCTAATACACAGAACAGTGACCTCTCATAGACCAGTGGTGCTGCCACTAAACACCAGAGGAGGAGAGGACAAGGGCAGCTCGCAGTCCTGCAGGTCACACAGCAACTCATGACCGGGGCCTCCTGCACGCTTCCCCTGCCAGCTCTGCCACGGATCCTGCTAGCACTTCCGCTCATCAAAGCACCCTGTTTTTCCCCATACTGTCCCCATTTCCCAGGTTATTCGACACTTAGAGGGCAGAGTTAATTTCTTATTCATCTTTGTCTAGCAGAGCCTGATACAAGGCCTGGTGCACAACAGGAGGGGGGACAGGGATGGATGAGTGAACACTGTGCAGCTTGCCATGGCCACACGGGCCCCAGGATGTGCCCCTCAGAACTCAGTGGGTCAAGACTCACCTGAAGGACGACCTTTGCCCCACCGTGGCCCGTCTGGATCCTTGATCCAGGGTGCAGCTCGACGTTCCAATTTTAAGATCAAGTCTGGTTTGGCGGCAGCTGGCCCTAGAGACAGAGTCACACTGAGGCCACTGCTATGGACCATCAAGTTAAGTATCCTGCCTGAAGCTATTCAAGGAAACTGAAATATTCAGGGATGCCTCTGGGTCTGTCTCTTAAATAAAGTCTATTCAGCTAGAGCTGTGATGAAAACATACCTATCTTGCGTGCCAATCTATTCTTAAAACCCAAGAAGCAGTCAGATTCAGGTGCATCCATGAGCCAGGAGAAGTCACGTCCTTGGCTCCGTGGGCCAGCCACGGGAGCCAGGAATAGGAGTCAGCTAAAGGCATCTGGAGGGAAGGTGGACATGGGAGGAAACACGGGATGCAAGAGGAGGAGGGGACAGAGGTGACGAAGAAAGTCACACGAGAAGTGGAAGATGGCGACTGGCTGGCACCATATGCTGTGCCCAGTGCCCCTAGAGCCACCATGGCTGGCCATGGGGTAGGTGTCTGACTGCACGGGTTAGTTCCAGGGGCACTTAAAAGGCCCCTTAAAAATGTCCACCGCCTACAATGGAACCTTCAATCTGACTTGAGGAGACTCCTGCCTTTGGCTTAAGCACTGCCCTTTATTTAAGACATGAATATTCTCAGGGATATGAAGAGAAATTGCTTTCTTGATTTAAAATAAAATCCATTAAAATAAAATAAAATCCATTAATATTGGTTTACATGCTTGGGTATGTGTGTGAATGTGTGCATAAACTTTCTTTGGAAGGACACAGGAACAACTGCTAACTGTGGGTGCCTCTGGCGCAATAGTCAGTACTGGCACCCTTCAACTTTTGGGTCACTTGGATACAGTCATTTATTTCTATTTGTTATAGGTGTGTGTATGTATCCATATATTTACTAAATCATATTTAATAAAATATAATTAAATACATTGTTAAAGTATAGACTGAACACACCCTTCTTAAAACATCTCTAAAATGAGGGCAAAGGAGCAATAATAACACAAAGAAATGTTAGTATGTTTTTAGAAGGAAAAGAGACAAAATCGCAAAACAAACAGAGCTGAACACCAAATGCTGGCAAAGGGGGCAGCAAGGAGAAAGAAGAGAGTCTGACTGCAGAATCCCCAAAAGGCTGGAGACTGGAGCCCCAGGCAGAAGGTGGGTAAGGGAGTGGGTAAGGAACAGGTGGAAAGGACAAGTGTGCAGTCTGCCGATACCACTCGAGCCCGGGGCCTCCCACCTCCCCAGGGAACTGGAGAACACCGTCACGCTTACCCACCTTCACCCAAGGAGGAAAATGGAGATTTAGTTAGAAAAACTGAACCAGAAAGTTCCAGACCCAGGGATGGTGGGGACAGTGGAAGAGGAAGAAGTGTTGCAGTGATGAAGGGTCTGTGTTCTGAAAGGTACCATACTCAGATCCAAGAACACAGGCTCGGCTCCTGGCCCTAAGCAGGGCACTTGGGCAAGTCTTCCTTGGAGAAACAGAGTTGCCCCCCTCTACCCCCTCCTGCCCCAAAGGCCCTGGGACACTGACTTTGCAGGCTCTTCAGTGAGACTGGCAGTGAAAGCTACCCCGTGATGAGCACCAGCCATACACAGAGCTGCCAGCCAGGTTCCTCAAAGCTTTACTCTTAAACCTGAATGAACCGCAGGGTATTTAATTAAGACAAGCCTCTAATATGAAACCAGTAGGAAAAGGGATCAGAGGAACTAAAGAAACCACAGTGAACAAAACGGAACTCCAGAACACCAGAATTCACGTTCCCAGATAGAAAAGCTGTGAAAGTCATCTGCAAAAGGAGCAATAAGGGCTTTTAGAGTAAAAATAAGATAGAAGAGGGGTGCCTGGGTGGCTCAGTCAGCTAGGCTTCAGACTCTTGGTTTCGGCTCAGGTCGTGATCTTGGGGTCGTGGGATCAAGCCCTGTGTGGGGCTCTGTGCTCAGTGCAGAATCTGCTGGAGGTTATCTCCCTCTCCCTCTGCTCCTCCCCCAGCTCTCTCTCTCTCTCTCTCTCTCTCTCTCTCTCTCAAATAAATAAATCTTAAAAAAAATGATAGAAGAAATTAGAACATTCAACAGACTTGTTGGGAAAAAACTTGAGAAAATCTCCAAGAAAGTAAAACAAAAAAGAGAAGCAGAAAATAGAAGAAGAAAAAAATAAAACAGAATCAGAGGCTCAATTTAGGAAGTCCAGTATATAACTAATAAGATTTTCTGATAGAAAGAAAAGAGAAAATCGATAGGAAGAAATCCTATAAGAACATTTCCCCAAACTGGAAAACGTGAATTTTCTCATGGAAAGGAAGCAGTGGATGCCCAGGATGAGAGTGAAAAATTGCTGATGTTGTTAAACAGTTCAGAACACTGGACTAGATCTTAAAATCTTTCAGAGAAGAAAAAAATAGGCTGTGTTCAAAGATTTAGTTATAAAAAGGTGTTTATATTTCTCATCAGCACCAGTAAATCCTAAAGGCAATGCTTTCAAAATACTGAGAAAAACTATTCCCAACCTAGAATTCTATGCCCATCTAAGCTTCCAACTATAAGGGCATGTCCTCCCGTGCACCCTGTCTGGGGAAGTTACTGGAAGATGAGCTCCAACAAAAGGAAGATGTAAACTTGGAGGAAGGGATGGAGCCAGGGGAGGGGAGTGGGACAAAGGAAAGTGTGGGACCACAGCTGTGCAGGCCCAGAGCATAACCAGTTCAGACAGAGCAGGAGAAGGGGAGACCCGATAACAAACGTCCCCAGAAAAAGACTGAAACTGATCCATCATGGGATGTCTGATCATGAGGAAGAGACTCTCAGAAGGGTTATTATAATTACATGGCAGAGCTGGAGAAGAATCGTTGAGTACAGAAAATCAGTAAAATAAAAAATAAGAAAATATTTCAATTCCAGAGGAGGATGGAGACTCCTACAACAAAGGAAAATCATTATACTATGCTACTTTGATCAAAAATAAGTAATGTGTCATCAATAATTAGTCAAATAATTTATACTGAACTAATCAAGAAAGTGTGATGTACTTGTTCTGAGAGGGTGGAGGGACAGAGTGGGGGCCCGGGGTGGTGGATAAGGGCTGGGCCTGCATCTTCCACGGCAGAAATTAAAAAAAAATCCATCTAAAATCAACAAATAAAGAATAGCAATAAACATATGCAACAGGACATGGAAGTGTGAGTCTGCCTGCCTGTTTTGGTTTAAGGTCCAAAAAGGTAGGAGCCAACTGTCCCTCCTCCCAAAGCCAGACCACCGAGGCCTGATTAGGTAAAGAAGGCGGCTGAAACACTGGGCTGTGACCCAAGCCCTCGGAGCGCTGGGAGTGAAAAGGTCAGGAAGCTATTAGGGGTATTTTTTGAAAGATATGTTAGGTGTATTGTGAGCCCCATGGGGAGGGCTGGAGTGGGCTACTTTTCCCTGATCTTAAGCCTAACGGGAATGACATCCTGACCGTAATCCGCTGGGCTCTGGGGATCCTCCTGAATCCAGGCCTGGAAAATATTAAAGGCAGAATCTGACTGATGGGTTCTTTCATGGTGGCCACGTCAGAAACAGCCTACATTCCAGGGTTTGTCAGAGCAAAGGACACATGTTTTCTGTGGTCCACATGTGGCCCCTGAGGGAAAGAAAAGAAGCCTGGAGCCACCTCAAGGGCCTCTGCCCCTGACTGTGTGTTGGCAGCCCAAGAACGAGCCCACATGGGGCTGACTGCCAAAGCAGACATTCACCCCTATAGAGGGGACTGTGGTGAGTGGTGGTGGTGGGGGAGCGTAGAACCCACAAACTCACCCAGACAATCAGCTTTCTACTATCCCAGCCACAAGTGGATGCCAGGATGCCATTGGCTGTGCCTCTCCTCCCCACTCACCTGCCACTGTTCCCACCCAGGACACAGCAGAAGTCCTAGAACAAGCTGGGGGTAGGAGGAGAGTGCCCTTCTTCCTACCACCAGGTTCCAGATTCCAGACCTGGGGCAGGCGCAGGTAGAAGAGGTGAGAAACGTTAGCTTTAGATGAAGTCCAGTTTTCTTACTACTACACAAAGACCATACTTTTGTTTCCTAATTTGGGGGGAGAGTATATATTTTTATATTATTTCAAACTTATTTAAAAGTTTCAATAATAACACGAGGAACTCCAATCACTTACATTTTGTCCCATTGCTGTATCAGGCCGATGTGTTCATGTGGCCTGCCCCTCCTCCCTTTATGTATGTGTATGAATAACATATAAATAATATACATGCAATATTTTTCTGAACCATTGAGAGTAAATTGCTTCCATACCCCCTTTATCCCTAAATTCTTCTACGTGTATCACTCAAGAGAAAGGACATTCTCTTCTGGGGTAGGTGGAATTCTAACATGAGCTCCAGTGGCCCTGGCCCTTCCTCATCCCTGCTTCCTGTGCTGTGAGTGGAACCTACGACCTGACGTCACACTCATGATTATGTGACATTACAAGGCAAAAGAGAGGCCATCTGGATGACTTCACCTGACTACATCTGCCCTTTAAAAGCAGAGTCAGTCGGCTTCAAAGCACCAGCAGGGTTTGACACACTGCTGCCGGCCTGAGGATGGAGAAGGCCACGTGGAGGGGACTGAAGAGCAGCCTGTAGAAGCTGAGAATGATCCCTGGTGGAAAACCAGCGAGCAAATGGGGATTGCAGTCCTACAACTGAAAGGAACTGAATGCTGCCAACAACCTAAATGCGGTTGGCAGTGATTCTTCTTCCCAGAGCTTCCTGGAGGGAGGCCAGCCTGATAGACACCCTGACTTTGGCTACGTGAGAACCCAGCTGAGCCCATCAGGACTTCTGCCCTCCAGAACTGCAAGGCAATAAATGAGTTAAAAATTTAGCCACTTGGGATCCCTGGGTGGCGCAGCGGTTTGGCGCCTGCCTTTGGCCCAGGGCGCGATCCTGGAGACCCGGGATCGAATCCCACATCAGGCTCCCGGTGCATGGAGCCTGCTTCTCCCTCTGCCTGTGTCTCTGCCTCTCTCTCTCTCTCTCTGTGACTATCATAAAAAAAAAAAAAATTTAGCCACTAGATTTGTGATAATTTATTGTGTGGAACTGATTTCACCTAGCTAAAGAAAAAACAGAACGAGGCCACAGCTTGAATAGAGCCCCAGATCAAATACTCATAATCACCCAGTCAAATCCTAAAATGCCCATGTTTCTCCTACTGGGGACACTGGCCTTAAACAAAACTTAAGCTATCTTCATAACAGTGTGATCTTACTATAGCCTCTAAGCCAGTTGGCTACGTGCAAGAAACCTCACCCAGTGCTCCTACCCTAAAAAATAATGTATGCTTTTAGTAACCTATCACAATTTTTTAAAAAACCCAAAGTACTCCCTCATTCATATTTTATAAACTGAGCTTTAAATGGTGAAAGCCAAGCTTTAACCACTTTGGATTTGAAGTCTCCCTGTTTGTGAATAGTTCCTTTCTTGCTCAATATAGTATTTGTATCAAGTAAAGCTCTCTGAATTTTCTTTTGACAACCCAAGGGATGAGGAAAAAAAGCTGCACAGAGCTGATCCAAACATGTAGTGATGGAGAAGAATAAAGCTGTCTTCTGAGTGTATCCTATGAGGTTCACTCTTTTGAAAATTATGTCTGCATGGATTTCCTAGAAGTCATGAGGTACGTTACCAGAGGAAGCAGCTAAGTCTCTGGCGACAAGGACCCAGAAGCAGAGAAAGGTGGGATGTTTTTGGTTTAAGTCTTGTTAGAACTACGCAGATAAAAGAAGTAATATTTGTAAATATTTGTAAATAATAACTAGAAACACACAGACCAAATATCCCCAAATATATTGGCCTCATTTATATTTTCCTTGGGGATAGGCCACATTTGCCTGCCACCCCCACCACATTGGCCCCTGGAATACTGTACCCTAACCAGACTTCTTGAAAGCTGTAGCTACAATATTGCCAAAACCCTTTTCTTTTTGTTCCTTCAGAACTAGTGAGACAGAAGGAAATTGCAAACAGATTTTTCTAAGTCTTAGTAATTAAAAAATGGCAGAGGGGGCCTAACTATAGCAAGATCATGCATGCATGCAACGAGCATGTGTGCACGCAAGCGCACGCACACACACACACACACACACACACACACACACACACACACACACCATTCCATAGAAATGGTTTGGCTTACAAAGACAAACTTCTGATCTTCCAGGGTAGCTCCATCCCAAGGTGGGCAGGCCATACCTGTGAACCACTGGGGGACAGCTGCCCTGGGGCCCTACCTTGGTTCTCTTCCAGCTCCTACACTGCCCCCACTTGGAAGCCCTGACATATGGGCTACCACCATATAGCAGGTGGCCTCCTACACACCGTATGAGCCACCTGAACTACTCATCTCTCACGGAAGGCCCTCCCACTCAGTTTTGGTTTCTACCAAGAGGCATGACTTTTTGCCCCAGCTATGTGAGGTCTAGCTGTATTTGATTACATCACCTATAGAAAAGGCACTGCCCACTGAAGTGCATGATCTGCCACTTAGCATGTGATGACACTTTTACTCATAAAAACAAGGGCTACCACACAGTCCCTCTATTGGCATGTCTCCTTTTGTTAACGACAAATAATAGTTTCTTAACAGTGGAATCTAACTGAGTTTTCTTTTTGGGGGAAAGCAAGAGATGTCATCAAATATGGCCAAAGTCTAAAACCAGAATTTAAAGTATGGAAATAAAAGAATATCAATATAGAATACAGAATATAAAATAATTCCAAATAAACAAGTCTACACAAGAAAAGGCTGAAACAGGAAAGCATTGAAAACAAAACACAAACCTCTTCTTTTCTACCTAAACAAAGTGACTGTCCTCTGCAGGTTCAATCCTATTGATAGGACAGCTGATGAGGCTGAGGAGGGTGTGACAGGAGTGAACTTACCCTGAAAACATTCCATCTGCTGAAAAGCTTCAGTCTATGCAATTTAACTGCCAAACAACTGATGGAAATTAAAGTTCAACTACACAAATTGAGGTTGTCTTTATAAGAATGGGTAAAATAATTATAAAATCTAAAAGAACAAACCTACTAGATGTAAACCCCAACAAGAACAATGGAAGAATTAGCTGGGTTTCCTCAAAGGATCTAAGCAAAAGGAAGTCAACAGGACAAATAACCCCAGGACCATAATGCCCCAGCATCTGAGGTGAGCTGAGCTGCAGCAACATGATCTGATCACCCAGGGCAGCCAGTCCCCTTTCTCCAGGCAGTTCTCATGGAGAGAGGGAGCTAGCAGTGACTTTCACAGAAGGTCTGAAAGAGCCTCGCAAACTAGCAATCTTAGGCTAGGGGCCTGAGGATGGGAGCAGAGACTTTTAGAAAATTCTGAAACTGTTTGTGTTTAAGAAGTCTCACCTTATACTTGGTGTATTATCATTATTACATAAACAACATGATTAGCACAAATCTTGAAACAAAAAGAGATGGGAGTCCAAGTGGCAATAAACAACCACAAGCAGGAAGTGTAAGGGACACACAATGCCCAGAATAGAAAGAATTTCAGTTTCTTCTCCAGCTTCTAGCGAGATGGCTGGGATTCCCAGGTCTGTTTTCTTGTCTGAAAATACTACTACTACTACCTGCCTGCGAGGTTTGGTTTAAGGATTAGAGAGAATACATATGAAACTCAACACAGGACCCACGCTCAGTACTCATTGACAGCAGAAGCCACTGTTAGGATTTCCAGATGAAAGAATAAAAGAAAGACACAGAAGCTTCCTAAAACACCCAGGATAAGCAGATGACAGTATTTCAAGATAAAATATAAGAAATATTAAAAATGGATGGGAGATTTTGTTCAAAGGCCAACATAACTTTTCTTGGTGTGATTACAATGGCGTTTTCTTTTTCAAAATCTTGGTTTACCTCAAGAAGTTCTATTTGTTAAAAAAAATAATTGAAAAATAGTACCAAATACTATTTGATTTTCAACTCTTAAATGGTGGACAATGGTGGATAAGAAGTGTGGGAGAAAAAAAAAAAAAAAAAACACTTATCCAAGCAAAATAGTGCCTGCACTGTGTTTCAACACTGTTTTATATCCCAGTGATCAGCTCAATGCCCTTTAAAAGGTAATTTTTAAACATACAAATGATTTATGTTTGGCCCCAATTATATTCTGATGGCTCCTTAAAATAAATGCTTTTATACCTCACACATGAAAACTGTCAAAATCAGACAGCAGTTAAAGGGTAATCACTGGAGACCTAATTAAGGTCACAAAAGAACCATAAATGCAGTTCTGTTCCTAGATTTCTGTACCCATTTTAGTCCCACAGACGACTGACAAGGACAGCCCCATTCTCTAGAAAGCCTTCCCTGACCCCTGCCTGCAACCCTCAAGCAAAATTGATTGCCCTTCCTCTGATTTTACTTATTGTTCATCCAAACAAAACGTAAGCCAGACTGAACTGTCCCTTATTTCCCCAGTTAGTGAAGATTTCCCCATTCCAGACTTATATGAGTTAAAAAGAAAATAACCAAATGCTTACATGGAGCACTGCCAGCCCTGGCTGGCAGGAGACACCCTGTGGTCAATACCACTCACCTATTGCTTTCACTACAACTTTCCACAGGGGCCCCAAGGGCAAAGCATGTTATTACTCTGTGTTCAAGGAAAAGCCAACTTCTTGTAAGTGGGTGTGTATTTCTTAAAAATGAATTTCCCCTTCATTCTCACTGCTTATAAACAGTGCGGGCAGTAGTGATGCTCTCTGAAGGCATACTTCGTTTCAAGCACCCTGGGCCTAGGGTCTGATGACAACACCTCTACCGTCACAAAAAAACCACTTTTACATCACTTCTGAATGGGGAGCCATACATACATTGCAAACAATAAAAATGAGCACACACCTCAGAAATGTTCAGAAAATAATCCATATCTTAGCTGCACATGGAAGAAGCCCTGGTATAAACCAAGGGCTAGGACATCAATTAAGTCACAAATATTCTTAGTTTTCATTCTGCAGAAGTCACAATGCAGATTGCTGCTGTATTGCTGAGTCGTGTACAGCAGCCTCCTCTGTAAGGCTGCTGTTCGTGGATACACTAGTTAAGTAAAGAGCTTCCTAGGATGAAAAGTTGTTTTCCACTTTTTGGTGCCCTAAGAACCTGGGGTATCTGATGGAAACAGCAGGCAAAGAGATCAAGAGGCAGATGTAAGAGATGGCACTCTTCTGAGAAGGTAACGAGCACTATCATGTTCATCTTTCTCCAAGGTCCCCCCTAGTGACAGCCGAGCCAAGACCACTGACCCTTGCTGGCCCCTGGGCACGAGGAAGCAGCCCTGGCATAGAAGAAGGAGAGGCACCTCCATGCCTCTGCCCATGCTGTCCCTCCCCGTCACATCCAGATGGCCTTCCTTCTCTCTGTCCACCTGTCCTGTCCACCAACTCAGTTAAAACATGTCATACTCTGTAAACTTTCCTGATACCTCCCTTCAATGCCCAACAAAATGAAATCACCCTTCTCTAGCAGCCTCTGGGCACCTTTCCTGAACCTCTTTTACAGAGCTTGTGCTATTTTAGAATTTCTTATTCAAGTGTCTATTTCTCCTGAAAACCTGCTAGCCCCTTGAAAGCAGAGAGCTTGCTTCATTTGTGTTCATCTGGTGCATGGGAAGTGTTCAATAACTCTTTGGTGGAGGATGGATGATGGATGGAGAGATGGATGAAGAGGGGATAAAGTACAGTATCCCAAAGCAGGGAGAGTTCTGAGGTTCAAAAAATAGAATCCCTCTCTGCCTACGTACAGGGAGAGGGCAGAAATGGGAAAATGACCACCAGAGACGGCTGCCCTTGTGGGTTTCCCATGTCAGACGATGGTGGCGAACAAAGGTCTACATGAATCTTTACCCAGGGAAGCCAACAGCTCATAATTCATCCGCATCACGTCTCTGTACAGCTCCTTCTGCCGCTTGACTAGCATGCCCCACTCCTCCCGGGTGAAATACACAGCCACATCCTCAAACACCACAGGAACCTCCTCAAACAGCCCCTCTTCAGAAGGATCCTGCAACAAAGAGCAGCAGTCACTCAACACGCCTCTTCTGCCAGACACCCAGCGTGGTACTCTCAGGGTCCTTGTCAAGGCCTGTTTTTCTTGGGAGGCTTGCCAAGAGGCCCAGATATGACTCTGAGGAATTAATGTATCCATCGAAAGTCAAAGAAGCAAATTTGTGAGGCCCCAAGTTAGTAGGTAAAACACAAATAAGCCTCAGTCTGATCCTAGGGTGTCTTAGGAGGAAATAAAAATGCAGTGAAGAACAGAAGCCCTAGCAGAGCCTTACAAATGCACCTTGCCCTCTACAGTCCTAAGGGGGTTCCTTCTATTCATCTATGACTATGCCTCCAGCACCTGCTAAGATGTTCCACTGGGAGAGGAAGGAAGAAGTAGTACAGAAGAACGAGAGATGGTGATATTCAGTGACTTGGTTTACACGTGCCTTATTGCTAAAAGAATTCAAATTACAAATGGCTAGACATATTTTATTAGCTTCTAACACTCAGAAGGAATATGAACATGAAGAGTAATGAACTTTGTCACTTTTCTAGCTTCTGGAAAAATTTAAGCTTACTGACTTTATCTGGGCCCTTATGATGTGAGGTAAGAGGAACACCTGAGCTATTCTCCTTGGAAAACCGGAAGGGTAGTCAAAATGATTTCTAGTATAATCCTGCTTATGTAAAATAGTTGAGAGATGGCAAAGGATCTCATTACTCAAAATTTCAGATAACACAGTATTCTTATAGCCAACTTTGCAAAGAACTAAGAACTTACAAAGTACCCGTGAGGTGAGAGCTAGAGCTTCAGGACCCGCTGTGCACAGGGAGCAGAGGGGGAGCGCTGGCTGGCGACCACACTCTGGCACAGGCCAGCACCACAAGAGCCCTTGGACTTGGGCCATGTCCATCTCCCTGACGCTCTGTTTCCCCATCAAGTTGAGTTCAATTGTACTTGCTCTACCAGCCTCAGAGCAGCATCAAAGACATTACATAAAACAACGTGTTGTGTGAGGAAATTTTGCAATGTTTTAACAGTGCTGGGTAATTCTGAAGGTACAGTTGAAAAAATCTCTGAAATTAATTATTTCTGGTTGTGTATTATTTATTGAGTTCTGTGATTTCTCTAGGTTGTGGATAAAGATTATCATCCTAAAAAAAAAAAGATTATCATCCTGAACTTAGATGTTTCCCTTATATCAGAAATTGGAATGTTCTGTCCCACTAATTATGTTTTGTTATCTGTGAAAGGAGATGAAAATAATAGGGCTGTTGTCTTAAATAAATGAGATATAATACAGGGCACCTGGGTAGCCTTGTTGGTTAAGTGCCAACTCTTGGTTTTGGCTCAGGTCATGATCTCAAAGTGGTGAGCTGAAGCCCTTCATCAGGCTCCATATTCAGTGTGGAGTCTGCTTGAGATTCTCCCTCTCCCTCTGCTCATCCCCCTATGCGCACTCACGCTGTCTCTGAAATAAATGAATGAATGAATAAATGAGATAACACTAGTAAAGCACATAAAACAGTGCCCGACATACCATAAGCATGCTAGGATACAGAACACACCCTTATAATGTTTGCAGCAGGTATGGCTATTTTAATTTTCCCAGCATTGTCATACCACACTATTGTTCCTGGTATGGAATCCTTCCCTTTGAGACATGGCAATCACTACAAGCACATTACCTGGCCGCAGGGTTCAGCAGCGTCATTACACAAAATGGTGACATTTGAAGAGCTGTGTGTATCATCAACAATTTCTTTTTGCCTAAACTCAGAAATGCAGTCTAGATACAATGCTGGAAGTGTTCCATGCCCCCCGGGGTCCTCCAGTTCGGCTCCTGGGCTGGGCAGGAGCTGGGCCACGTTGTCATAGGCTCCCAGAGGTCCTGGGGGGTACAAGATGGGGTAATCTGCCGTGAAGAGGTGCTCTGGGCTGCCCAGTACATCTACAGATTCCTCTCGGATGCTATGGAAACGGTCCGCCCAGATGGGATCCCGAGCTGCCAAGGCATTGACACAGAACAGGTGAGCTTTGCTCTTGGCATGGTATTTGAGAGTCTCCACCTTGAATGGTCCTGTATAACCTTCTATTAATCTTGACCGTTTGTCCCTGACAGATGGGTACTCGCGGCAAGCAGAGCAAAATAGAGCCGTCTGTTCCTCATTCATGACCAACCATGGGAATTGTGCAAACCAAGACTTCTGGATAGAGCGGGGTTTCAAGGGTTTTTTGCTTTTCCCTGCATAGTCTACCGCAGTGTTGCCACACTCTGTGCTGACATGGGACAGGCAAGCTTTCTTCTGCGGTGGCACATCCTGTCCAGCTTCTCTGGCTGGACTTTGCACATTCCTTTCTTCCATGCAGCCCACCTTGTTTTTCCCTTTGGAGAAAAGAAACCAATGGAATTTGCTCTGAAATCCTATAGTTAGGGCTACTGCAGCTTATGAGCCTCTTGGCTATAGCAAATAGGAAACCTGGAAATGACATGCAAGAGTGGCACAGGCTCTGCTTGGAATCTCTTTCAACCCCCAGCTCCCCAGGCCTACCTCATTTGACCTGGAAGAAAATCACAAGAGCTTTAAGCATCTCCCTCTTTATTAAATTAAATTTAATTAATTAATTAACTAATTTTAAGATTTTATTTATTTATTTATCCATGAGAGACACAGAGAAAGGCAGAGGCATAGGCAGAGGGAGAAGCAGGTGTCTCGCAGGGAGCCTAATGTGGAACTCGATCCCGCATTCCGGAATCATGACCTGAGCCAAAGGCAGAAGCTCAACCGCTGAGCCACCCAGGCATCCCTTAAATTTAAATTTAAAGGGCAAATATGGCCAAAAATAGATCTCTACAGTTTTAGCTTTGCAAACTAAGATAGTGGCGCCACCTTCAGGAGTTCCAACTTATTTATGGATAAGAATACTGAACTCTGGGCACCTGGGTGGTGCATTCGGTGAAGCGTCTGCCTTCGGCTCAGGTCACGATCTTGGGGTCTGTGGATCAGCCCCGCATTGGGTTTCCTGCAGGGAACCTGCTTCTCCCTCTCCCTCTGCCCCTCTCCCTGCTTGTGTGCTCTCTCACTTTTGCTCTCTCTCAAATAATAAATAATAAAAAAAAGAGCGTTGAACTTCATAAAATGTCAGTTAATGAAGGTAATTAAAAACGAAATACTCAAGTCTATGCTCAGCAGGAATCCCCTTCTATGGTAACCCCACTACACGGGCATTTGCACTTTGCTCACGTGTCTTTGGGGCAAGTGAACAACCTACCTTCTGGGTACATGGCTGTGGTCCCCAGAGTCAGCCTTAAGCTGTGATCCATTTTTAAGTAACTTCCCCCTGGGGTTGCTACTCCAGCCCTCCATTTTTTTTTTTTAAAGATTTTATTTATTTATCCGTGAGAAACAGAGAGAAAGAGAGAGAGAGAGGCAGAGACCCAGGCAAGGGATACCCCTGCAGGGAGCCCGATGTGGGACTCGATCCCAGGTCTCCAGGATCACATCCTGAGCTGAAGGCAGACATTTTAACCGCTGAGCCACCCAGGGGTCCCTACTCCAGCCCTCCGGAGAAACACAAGTCGTCTCTGACACCATAGCCCCTTCAAAGATGCGAAAACTCTCACAAACTCACTGCGATTTTTCTTCCTCAAGCTAAACTAGAAGTTTCTTTATTCACTCCTCGGTTGAAACGTGAGTTAGGCAGCGCTGAACTCCTCAAGAACCATTTCCTATGTACCAACATAAGTGCAGATGCCTGGTGGCCAAGGACTCAACAGTATTTGCTCCAGGCCAACAGACCAGTCTACACAACTGTAGCCAACCCAGGAGCACAAAGTGGCTAAAAAGGAGTAAGCAGGTTCAAAATGAAGAGCCAACCCTGGGAAAACAAAACAATTTAGTATCTCTGAAGCCTTGGGCTTCCTGTAGTCCATCTGAGACAGGTCACAAGAGAAAGCAGATTCCTATGAGTTGGCTCCTGTAAGAGCTTGTTCTGTCTCCCTTTTCTCCTGCAGCAGGGGCTGCTTAAAACTAAGCAGCATCTCATCTAACGACTAGATGTCATCTGGCCTGGCCCTAGCCAAGCCAGGCTTATCAAAGGAGAAAAGCCAAGATAAATCCCTAGAACTTAGTGGAGATCTGTTCATTCATTCGGCAATTATTTATTGTGCAATTGCTGTGTGCCTGGCATTGTCCTCAGCACCGGGAATATAGCAGCCGGTAAGACAGAGGCATGCCTTTATGGAAGTTAGCATATATAATTATAAATCAACATATACTCCCAGGCAGGGGCACAGCGGCTCAGCTGTGCTCAGCAGCTGAGCATCTGCCTTTGGCTCAGGGCGTGATCCCGGGATTCTGGGATCGAATTCCACATCAGGCTCCTTGCAGGGAGCCTGCTTCTCCCTCTGCCTATGTCTTTGCCTCTCTCTGTGTCTCTCATGAATAAATAAATAAAATCTTTATATAAAAAATACTCTTGGGCAGCCCTGGTGGCTCAGTGGTTTAGCGCTGCCTTTGGCCTGTGGTGTGATCCTGGGGACCCGGGATCGAGTCCCACGTCGGGCTCCCTGCATGGAGCCTGCTTCCTCCTCTGCCTGTGTCTCTGCCTCTCTCTCTCTCTCTCTGTGTCTGCCATGAATAAATAAAATCTTTAAAAAGAAATATTCTTAGGTAGAAATAAAATAAAGGGAGATGGACAGGTGGAACAATGGAGTAATGCTGGAGGAGGTGTGTATATTTCAGATAAGGTCGCGGCTGGGGAAGGAGAGCATTCATGTGTGAGTTGGCAGAGAACAGGGAGAGGCCAAGGATAAGACAGGAGTCCTGGTGCCCATCTTTCCACTCCTTCTCTCCAGCTGGCATCCCTGGTCCTGTGCAGGTCCACACTCACCTGGGTGGTGGCTCAGGAGAGTCCTCTGGCCCTGGACATTGCCTAGCCATGGCTCTGGCCCCCGCTCAAACTTATAGAACAGCTCTGGGTTGGCAATAGTTGGTCCTGAGTCAGGAACAGAGAGAAGCACTTATGAAGTCTTGGATCCAGGTCACATCACAACATAAAGGAAGGGTCTTTATGGGACATCCTCTCCACACCGTAAGATCAAGGACACAAGTAGGAGTCTTGATGCTTTAGCATGGTGGTTTGGAAACTCAGATAGAAACTCACATATCCATGAGACCCCTAGAAGAATGGGGCGGGGGTCTAAGCAAATGCAATGAGGCTAAAAAGGTATGAAAACTACTACTTCAGAACAGAGGCTCATAAACTCAAATGCTGAGAGGGACCAGATACCATAACTGAGGAAACCAGGCCAGGCAAGGAGGCTGTGGTGACCTGTTGGGGGGGAGGGGGGTAGCTGCTGCTTCTCTCCAGGGGAGGCCACCACGTGGAATGCAGGGTCAGTGCTGCCAGACCGTCCTGCTTTTCAAGAGAAACCAGAAATCATAATTCCATGTGAAAACTCCCAGTGTTAAATATTGACAATTTATTTAAATATTGTAAAGAAACTGGGGTGCCTGGCTGGCTCAGTTGGAAGAGCCTGTGGCTCTTGATCTCGGAGTCATGAGTTCAAGCCCCATGTTAGGTATAGAGATTACTTAAATAAATTTTAAAAAATTTATTTTAAATATTGTTAAAAACTCAAGCAAAAGTCACAAAAGCAAAAAAAAAAAAAAAAAAAAAAAAGGCCCATGAGCTGCTACTCTACAAATTTTGGTATAAAAGAACGAGCAGTTTTCAAACTGGTTTTGGCACACATAGGAGGACACCCAACCCAGCTGCAATCCTTCCACCTATAGAGCTGAGACTGTTGCTCCCATTAGTCTGGGTGGTTCAGTTGGTTAAGCATCTGACTCTGTATCGGCTCAGGTCATGATCTCAGGATGGTGGGATCAGGCCCTGAGCTGGGCTCTGTGCTCAGCGTAGATTCTACTGGAGATTCTCTTTCCCTTTCCTTCCACCCCTCTCCCCACTCTTTCTCTAAATAAATAAATAAAATCTTACAACAACAAAAAAAAAGTGAAAGGGTTTGGTCGAAGGCACACCAGTGTCACATGGTGGAGGATGGAACTAAGAGCAGGTTCCCACATGGCAGATGACACTCTTTCTACTACCATGCACTACCTCCAGTGCCCTACAGGCACCTGAAACAAAATCCACACTGCAGTTCCACAGACCATAATATGGTGAGTCATCAGGGTCCAGTGTTGACATGTCCGACTTCCCCACTTCTCTTGGCCAATTAAAGAGGAGAAAAGAAAGGGTGGTATGTGAATCCAGGTGCAGTTAAGTTACAAATGGGACTGAGCAGATGAATTATGTAAATAGGCCTGAAAAAAATGGTAGGATACCAGAAAATTCTCAAGTATGTCATAATTGGATACAGTTTGGAATGGTGGTCCAGACTCAGGTGGTGGGAAAGAGAACAGGAGCCCATACCTAGCTGTGCCACCAGCTTGTCAGAACCACAGATCTCCTTCTGTTGCTGACTCAGCAGCATCCATTCCTCCTGAAGCAAGTATACAGTGATGTCATCAAACGTCACAGGAGCCTGGAGGGAAAAATGGCACCAACTAAGTACCAACATCCTCCTTAGTTTTCCACATCTGTGTTCATGACCACCTGAGGGCGCCTGTACTCTGGGCACCTATCAGACTGGGGGGGAGGGGCATTGTCCATCTACATAGAGACCTTTCTCACCTTCTGGGTCCAAGTCACAGTGGGAATGAGACTTTCTTCTAGGAAGGGCCACACACCGAAACACAAGTCATCAAGAAGGCTGACTCAGGAATTCCATTATCCTTTCCCTGTGTGCTCTTCGCCTGCCACAGTACCCAGCACTTCTCCGCAAGAGCCTCAGCAACAACCTATGGCACATGCTTGTGCAAAATCTTGAACCTGGTAAGGAGAATGTATCTGATTCCTGGAAACAGTCCAAAGTCATTCAGAACTATGTCAATGAAATCAGTGATCAAGATAGGCAAAGCTTTAGAGTAGAGAACCATATCCCACGGGGTTTGTAAAGTGGCTCTGTTCTGCCAAAAAGGGGTATGCAGTTCAGAAAACATTTTCAGGAGTACTGGAGTGAGATGGCAGATTGGACAAGCACTCTGAATTTTGTATCCTCCCTGTGAATTTAAAAGACATTCTCCCCACCAAACATGCCAAAGCAAAACACCCACTAGGGTGGGAAACAAAACAAGGGGACAAAAGTCATACAGTTCTAGACACTGAGGAGATCCAAGAAAATCAAATCCTCACCCAGCAGCAGACAGATTGAGAAATAACGCAATTGATAGCAGAAAATCCAAAGGCGGTTCAGGATCTGCAGCGCTGAAAGCCTCTAGCCTGGGAGTGAAGGCAGTAAGGCTAGGACAACAGGAATGCCGTTGGCCAGCAAATGCCTGCCCAGATTCCCCTGCATGGCTCTGTGCTACAAGCCCCCTCTTTTATGGACTCAGAGCTTTGGTTAAAATCTGGGTTTCCGATTACACAGTGTTAGCTAACAGCTGGACTAGCAGACAGCAGAGGAAAGACTCTCTCAGGGCCGAAGAAACCAAAACAGATGGTTGCAAGGGGAGGAGGCAGGTAGGAACATGATATGAACGTGAGGCATGGAGAAGAAAACTTTACAAAAATAAAACTATCATTGTAGCTTCAGAGAGGTAAACTGCTGCGGCCATGCAACAAACCATTATAAAATAAGCAAAAAAGGAAATAGAACACATTGCTCTTTTATCATTTTAATTTTGTACCACAAACACTTATCACCTAGTTTAATAAATAAAATTATTAACAAAAAATAAATTCCCCACCACCAAAGCAAAACATCTTGGGAAACAATCTCTTGGGATCCCTGGGTGGCGCAGCAGTTTGGCGCCTGCCTTTGGCCCAGGGCGCGATCCTGGAGACCCGGGATCGAATCCCACGTCAGGCTCCCGGTGCATGGAGCCTGCCTCCCTGCCTCTCTGCCTCTCTCCCTCTGTCTCTCTCTCTCTCTGTGACTATCATAAATTTAAAAAAAATTAAAAATTAAAAAAAAATTAAAAAAAAAGAAACAATCTCTTGGGGTAAATAAAAGTTCTTCTAGAGTAACAACTGTGAAAGGGACCCATTCATACCTATTTATGACAAGTTTTAGTATATTTGTCTAAAATTGCCTTGTAACTTTATGGTCAGATTACTAGCACATAAAATACCTATTTTAACTTCAACAGTAGAAACTTCTTGAGAAAAACAATACAGACCATTCTTATCTGTCACTGTTGAGTTGTATACTTAAAAATAATTTGAGTACTTTTCTAATGAGTCAATACATGTTCACTGCAGAAAATTTAGATAATGAGCAGAAAAAAATGTATTAAGATCATCCACAATCACCTTACTAAAAAAGAATTAGGGATCCCTGGGTGGCTCAGCGGTTTGGCGCCTGCCTTTGGCCCAGGGTGTGATCCTGGAGTCCCGGGATTGAGTCCCGCGTCGGGCTCCCAGGATGGAGCTTGCTTCTCCTTCCTCCTGTGTCTCTGCCTCTCTCTCTCTCTCTCTCTCTCTCTCTCTTTCTCTATCATAAATAAATAAATCTTTAAAAAAAAAAAAAGACTCTCACGGAGTCTTTTAAAAAAAAAAGAATTACTATTGACATTTGGTATGTAACCTTCTAGACTTTTGTCTATGAATATGTATGAATGAATAATTTCAAAAATAAAAATTATTTGGAAACACAATGGTCCAAAATCTTTGGGACACAGCAAAAGCAGTCTAAGAGGGAAGTTTAAGATGAGGCTTACCTCAAGAAACAAGAAATATCTCAATCTAACCTTATATCTAATGGAACTAGAAAAAGAAGAACTAGAAAAGCCCAAAGAAATAAATTATTAAGACCAGAGTGGAAATGAATGAAATACAGACAAAAAAAAAAAAAAGAGAAAAAGAAAAAAAGAAAAGAAAAGAAAAGAAAAGAAAGAAAAAGAAAAGATTAATGAAACCAAGAGTTCGTTCTTTGAAAAGATAAACAAAATTGACAAACCTTCAGTCAAACTCATCAAGAAAAACAGAGAGAAGACTCAAATAAAATCACAAATAACAGAGAAATAACAATGGATACCACAGAAATATAAAGGATTATAAGAATACTACAAAAAATTATATGTCAACAATTGAACAACCTAGAAGAAATGGGTAAATTCCTGGAAACATACAATCTTCCAAAACTAAATCAGGAAGAAATAGAAATTTTGAACAGAGTGATTACTAATAATGAAATTTATTTGGTAATCAAAAAATTCCCAACAAACAAAAGTCCAGGACCAGATGGCTTTACAGATGAATTCTACCAAATATTTAAAGAAGAGTTAATACCTAGTCCTCTCAAAATTCTAAAAAATAGAAAAGGAAGGAAAACCTCCCAATTCATTCTATGAGGCCAGCATTAACCAAAATCAGACAAAAATACCACCAACCTCCCCCCCAAAAAAGAGAGAGAAATAAAGAGAGAGAGAGAGAGAGAGAGAGAGAGAGAGAGAGAGAGAACTACAGGCCAACATCCCTGATCAACATGGGCAAAAATCCTCAACAAATGTTAGCAAACTGAATTCAACAATACAATAAAAGCATCATTCACCATAATCAAGTGGGATTTATTCCAGAGATACAAGGATGGTTAAATATTCACAAATCAATCAATGTGATACATCACATTAACAAAAGGAGGCATAGGGGCACCTGGGTGGCTCAGTGGTTGAGCAGAGCATGGTCCCCAGGTCCTGGGATCGAGTCCCACAACAAGATCCCCACAGGGAGCCTGCTTCTCTCTGTGCCTCTCATGAATAAATAAATAAAATCTTTAAAAAAAAGTTAGAAGTCATATCATCTCAAAAGATGCATAAAAAGCATTTGACAAAAATAAACATCTCTTCATGATAAAAACTCTCAACAGAGGTTTAGAGGAAACATATATCAACATAATAAAGGCCATATATGAAAAGCCCACAGTTGACATCATACTAAAAGATGAAAAACTGAAAGCTTTTCCTCTAAGATCAGAAACGAGACAAGGATGTCTACTTTCATCACTGTTGTTCAAGACAGTACTGGAAGTCCTAGGCTGCAGCAATCAGATAAGAAAAAGAAATAAAAGGCATCTAAATTGTTAAGGAAAAAGTAAAGCTGTCACTATTCACAGATGACATGATACTACACATAGAAAACCCTAAAGACTCCACCAAAAAGCTACTAGAATAAATTCTATAAAGTTGCAGGATACAAAATTAATATACAGAAATCTGTTGCATTTCTCTACATTAATAGCAATGTAGCAGAAAGAGAAATTATGAAAACAATTTCATTTATAATTGAACTGAAAAGAATAAAATACCTAGGAATAGAAAACTATAAGATATTGATGAAAAAAAATGAAGACAATATACACACAAATGGAAAGATATACCATGCTCATGGATTGAAAGAATTAATACTGTTAAAATGTTCATATTATCCAAAGCAATCTACAGATTCAATGCAATCCATATCAAGAAACCAACAGCACTTTTCACAGAACTATAACAAATAATGCTAAAAATTGTATGGAACCACAAAAGACCTTGAATAACCAAAGCAATCTTGAGAAAAAAGACTAAGCTGGAGATATTATAATCCCAGATTTCAAGATATACTACAAAGCTATAATAATCTAAACAATATGGTCCTGGCACAAAAATAGATACAGATCAATAGAACAGGATAGACAACCCAGAAATAAACCTTCTCATAGATGGTCAATTAATTTATGACAGTGGAGGCAAGTATATACAATGAGGAAAAGATAAACTTTTCAATAAATGGTGCTTGGAAAACTAGACAGCTACATGCAAAAGAGTGAAATTGGAACACTTTCTTACATCATACACAAAAAAACTTCAAAATGGATTAAAGACCTAAATGTGAGAACTAAAATCATATACAACTCCTAAAACAAAAAACATAGGCACTGATTTCTTGGACTTCAGTCTTAGCACATAGCAACATATTTACAGATGTCTCCTCAGGAAAGGGAAATAAAAGCACAACTAAACTATTGGGATCACACCAAAATAAAAAGCTCTTACACAGTGAAGGAAACCATCAACAAAACAAAAAGGCAACCTACTGAATGGGAGAAGATATTTTTAAATGATATATCTGATAAAGGGTTAATATCCAAAATACATAAAGAACTTATACAACTAAGCACCAAAAAAAAAAAAAATCTGATTAAAAAATGCAGAGGATTTGGACAGATATTTTTCCAAAGAAGACATACATATAGCCAACAGACACATGAAATAATGTTCAACATCACTCATAATCAAGGAAATGCAAATCAGGGATCCCTGGGTGGCGCAGTGGTTTGGTGCCTGCCTTTGGCCCAGGGCGCAATCCTGGAGACCTGGGATCGAGTCCCACGTCGGGCTCCCAGTGCATGGGGCCTGCTTCTCCCTCCGCCTATGTCTCTGCCTCTCTCTCTCTCTCTCTCTGTGTGTGTGATTATCATAAATAAATAAAAATTTAAAAAAAAGGAAATGCAAATCAAACCACAATGAGGTATCACTTCACACCAGTCAGAATAGCTAGTATCAAAGACAATAACAGAGGCCCTTGGCTGGCTCAGTCAGCAGGGCATGTGACTCTTGACCTCATGGTTGTGAGTTCGAGCCCCACATTGGGTGTAGAGATTACTTTAAAATTAAAAAATCTTTTAGGGATCCCTGGGTGGTGCAGCGGTTTGACGCCTGCCTTTGGCCCAGGGCGCGATCCTGGAGACCCGGGATCGAATCCCACGTCGGGCTCCCGGTGCATGGAGCCCGCTTCTCCCTCTGCCTGTGTCTCTGCCTCTCTCTCTCTCTGTGACTATCATAAATAAATTTAAAAAAAATTAAAAAAAAATAAATAAAAAAATCTTTTAAAAAAGAGACAAGAAATAACAGGTACTGGTGAGGAGTGAGGATATGGCGAAAAGGGAACACTCATGCACTGTTGGTGGGAATGTAAATTGGTGCAGCCACTGTGAGGAGGGGTCCTCAAAAAATTAAAAATAGAAATACTATGTGATCCATAATTCTACTACTGGATATTGATCCAAAGAAAGCAAAATACTAATTCAAAAAGATATATGCACCCCCATGCTTATTGAAGCATTATTTACAATAGCCAAGATGTGGAAGCAACTTGTGTCCATTGATAATTGAATGGATAAAGAAGGGATGCCTGGGTGGCTCAGTGGTTGAGTGCCTGCCTTCAGCCCATGGTGTGATCCTGGAGTCCCAGGATCAAGTCCCACATCAGGCTTCCTGGAGGGAGACTGCTTCTCCCTCCGCCTATGTCTCTAAATCTCTCTCTCTCTGCCTCTCATGAATAAATAAGTTAAATCTTTTTAAAAAATGAATGGATAAAGAAGATGTCATACAAATATATGTGATCTATTTATCATACATAGAGAGAATGGAATATGCAACAACATGGACAGACCTATAAGGTATTATGCTAAGTGAAATAAGTCAGACAAAAAAGACAAATAGAATATAACTTTACTTATATGTGGAATCTAAGAAACAAAAATTAAAAAAAAAATGAAACAGACTCATAAATACAGAGAACAAACTGATGGTTGCCAGAGGGATGGAGGGATGGTGGTAGGAGAAATAAGCAAAAGGGATTAAGAGGTACAAACTTCCAGTTAAAAAATAAATAAGATATGAGGATGAACAATATAGAATGGGGAATATAGTCAATAATATTTAATAATGTGCAGTGACAGATGGGGACTTCGCTTGCAGTGAGCCCTGAGTAATGTACAGAATTGTCCAACCACTATGTTGTACACTTGAAACAAATACATCATATGGCAATTATACTTCATTAATAAAAATATATATATATATATATATATATATATATATATATATATATATATATATAAACTCAAAGGCTATCTCTGGATGTTCTATTTTAAAGATTTTTTTTTTTAATTATTTGAGAGAGAGAGAGAAAGAGAGAGGCAGAGACATAGGCAGAGGGAGAAGCAGACTCCATGCAGGGAGCCTGATGTGGGACTCAATCCCGGGACTCCAGGATCACACCCTGAGCCAAAGGCAGATGCTCAACCACTGAGCAACCTAGGCATCCCTGGATGTTCTATTTTAGTGGTTCCCACTGTCTACAGGGCAGAACTCTG